TACGTCCTACTTCAGACGTAGGTTCTGCATGGGAGTGGCGTGTGCTGGGTGGAGTTGACCGACAATCAGAAATGTGTCTCTGTTACTTGTCATTCTGACTGAAATTCTGTCGATTTTTCTTATGTGATTTTTCAGTTTGATGTAGTACTGTGTGTCACCCTGAAATATATGTTTTGACCTGTAAATATACAAAACATTGTGCCATGCCACTTATAATAAATGTATAGATATGACATTAGGATTTAATTAATCATGCGAATCATTCGTGGAAATAAAAAGAAAATGCAGCGCCTCGAGTAAGTGACTCCTTCCAGTCATGACTGAGATTCCCTCCTAAGCTATATGCACATTCATCAAAAATCTAATTGATCACATAATCATTTCTTCACTTGGAAATAATTCTGAAGCACACACACGCAGGTTTAATTGCATTGCAGTTTTGTTGCCATCTTGTTATTACAAGAAAGGCATCTCCTTACGAGTCAATTCTACACAGAGAAACAAATTCGACCCAGGTTCACGGACAAACGACAGAAAGTGAGCGAGTACAGACCAAGATCGGTTTGATGGATTAAAAAACACTGTGAACTTGAACCAAAGCAATCTACATTAGCAAATGTTATTGAAGACCAAATAAAAAAGAGTCTTTTTGTTTCTTGTTTTCTTTATTTCAGAAGAGAAAAACGAAGAACGGAACAACAAAACTGCACCAGATGTCCATATTCCTACTAGTTTTGCCTCTTGTCCAGGCTCATTCTATCTTTACATTGTTAATATTAAGTGTATTTTTCCCAGTTGCTTAGCAACAGCATTCTCAGACTCTAACCATGAGTGTATCCTGTGTCCGCCCTTCTAGTCACAAGTTTTCGAGTTTTTTTGTAAAAACACCAATAACACCAGATTAATAAATGTCACTTACTTGTATTATTAAGTAATTGTCACTTGCTTGTATTATTGTTGTGAATTGTATTGAATGTCCTGTATTGTGTTTACTGTATTGTTCCATTGTATGTTTAAATATTGTTCTGTCTTCTTTATTCTATTCATTGTATTGTATACTGTGCACTGCCACTTTGTCTCTCTCCGGTATCGCACTCCATGTTGTCGATCGTGTGAACCGCTGTCTGTGACTTGTGTAACGTCGCACCAACACCTTTGAGAACACTATTTCATTCTACTGTATACTTGTATATGGCTAGAATGACAATAAAACCTCTCTAATGTAATATTCAGTCTAATCTAATCTCTTCTCAACCTTTCAAATCTTCCACTTCTTTAGTCACATCATGATAGTTCTCTCCTACCGAGCAGAGTAACTGTAGCACGTGTGGTGTGAACGGTGTGAGGGGCCGAGGCACCTGCATATTGACCTGCTGAGAGCGATATTAAACATGAACCTCAGTTGACTGACGAGATACTGCGATTTTATATATGCAGTAGTCCATGTCATCTTTAAATTGCTTGTTTATTTCAGACAATTTTCTGAAAGTGTCATTTCATATTAATGATTTAGAAGAAAGTGATAAAAAAAAATAAATCTACAAATTAGACTAGGTATTCAGTTAGGGCAGGAAGTAATGGCACTCTTTAAAGTAAGTGAGTGAAGTGACTTGTGGCGACCCATACTCGGAATTTGTGCTCTGCATTTAACCCATCCAAGTGCACGCACACACACACACCCGGAGCAGTGGGCAGCCTTTTTAGCTGCGGCACCCAGGGAGCAGTTGGGGGTTCGGTGCCTTGCACAAGGGTCTCACCTCAGTCATGGTATTGAGGGTGGAAGAGAGCGCTGGTCATTCACTCCCCCCACCTACAATCCCTGCTGGACCCGAGACTCGAACCCGTGACCTTCGGGTTACAAGTCGGACTCGCTAACCATTAAGCCACGAGTTAGAGTGTGCGTGTCTTTGGTAGCTGATGACTTGCAGTGGCTGAGCTGCATTACCAGAAGTTGGTTTTTTAGTTGCCATTTTGTCATTTACAGCTCTGCGAGCTTTGCCATTTATGGAGGAGTTTTGTGGCCGTCACCAAATGTAAATCAAGAGTGCCGGGAACATGCTTTTTAATTTACAGGCATTTATCAGTATATGAGTGTTAGTATGATGAAAATCAGCATTAATGAAACTTTGAAATCTGTAAATCTGATGGAAAATATTTAGTTCCATTTGGCCAATAAAAACATTTACACACAGCATTACTAAAAGTTTGATAAATACGCTACATTTTGCGTATACTCCGTATAAAGGCTGTTTTACACCCCTATGAGGTCAGCTATATTTTATTCTGCCTTGATCTTTTCCTTTAAGAGTTCCTGTTGAGTGCAAAAGATTGTTACCACAATAAAGAGTATACTAAAAAATAAAAATGAATGGGACACACACACACACACAAACAAACAAGCAAACAAAAATCCATCCAAAGTATAACTTAATGTTAAGGAATTATATATAATGCACCCAGGAGGTCAACTGAAGGTTACTCATGGAGTCCTGTGTTTGGAAAGGTCTGGCTGAGGGTAATGTAATTTGAGTTTTGTCCACTAGATGATGCACAACAATTACCCAGCAAATCTCCAGGTAAGTGACTTGGAGGCCTGGAAAGATCTAGTAAGGTTCACATGACAGAATTATAAATGTCCAGTACATGAGCAATGCACCACAGAAGCGAGAGTGGATTCTGAACACTAGTTTTCATTACATAATAGGAAACCAAGTCCAGTGTAGTAAAGGCTACTGAACTATTTCATTAAAAAAGCTGCATTTGGTAGTAAAAAGAAAAAAAAAAAACGAACAAAAAAAAACGTGCTGACTGACACATCAACATGTATAGAAGAGTTTACAGGACAAGCAGAAGACTAAATTATTATTTTTACTATACTGTGATATGATGGAAATGTAGATTATAATATGACATAATAGTGATAATTATGATAATGCTTTTATTTCAAAAACTGTAAAAATGTTCAGGCAAGGTATTTGTTGACCGGTGTGTATAATAAAAATAAATAATAATAATAATAATTAAAAAAAAATAAAAAATAAAATAATAATAATAATAATAATAATAATAATAATAATAATAATAATAGTTATTATTATTATTACTCCACGTTCCTCTTTTATACATTTATTCCACACCTTTATACCCGTTTTATATATATATGTGTATATTTATATATTTATATGTTCAACCTGCAGCAGTCAGTGGATTGTGGGCGTGTCCGCGTTTGTGTCCGTGATTACATCATTATAGTGGGCGTGTCCTGTTTGAAGTCATGTAACGGCGGGCTATGAGGAGTGGGCGTGGCCTTGTATTAGGGTGCGAGGGAAGGGGGAGAGGGGCGTTGGAGTGACGTGGAAAAGTGGGCGTGTCCACGGGTCGTCATCTGTCCGTGATCAGTGATCGGATGATTCGTTGTGGGCGGAGCCTGTTGAGGAAGCCATCGTGCCCGGTGCTTGAATCGAGTCGCACCGGCTTCTTAATCCGCGTGCAGAGTCCTGAACGCCTCAGTATAAACAGTCAGCACTCTCATTTTCATCAGTCAGTTCAGCTACAGTGTGCAACCTGATTGTCTTTTCTTTTTTTTTTTCATGTCTCAAGAGCGAATAATATCAGACATTTCTAACTCAGCACGGAAAATAAACCATATTATGGAGACGGAAATACACGTGCCTGTGGGCTCGCCGACCATCAGAAAATTCCCAATACACGTCGATGAGCATAACGTTAAAGACGGGGCGATCAAATTAATAAAAGAGCTGCGGCCAACATGGGACATTAACCAGGTCAAGACCAAGGTAGGCTGCGCGCTTTCACTGAAACCAGGGCTTGTCATGGTCACTAGCTAGCGCTCCATGAACACACCTTACCGCCTAGCCTTACTTACTGTTTACACCACTTTATGCTCATAAACTCCACGATAAATCACCTGTAAAAGCTGTGTGTGTGTGTGTGTGTGAGTGAGAGAGAGAGAGACAGCTAGCTTGAGCTTATGAATGATACCGGCACTAGCATTAGCATAGCAACCGAAGCTTAGCCATGTAACATCTGAATGAGGCTTTGTGGCTAAGTTGAAGAGTCTAACGCTAGTTATTAATCTAACTAGCTCCACGCAAGCATGTCAATGAGTTGTTAATAATACAGCCAGCTAGCCGTCTTGGGTTGTCAGAGAGGGCATGGAGATTTCACTCAGAAGTCTACTGATGACTCTGACTAACTAATTAACCAGCTGCCTTAATTTTTAATAAACCAGCTATCTTAATTAAGCACCCTGCTAATTGATTCAGAGTTCATCTTACTCTGGGAGTGGTATGGTCTTGCTGTCTTGTGAATCTTACCACCAGCTGAGTATCTACATCTCTCCACCCAGCTTTACATGCTGCACACAGCTGTCTGGCTTTCTCATTTATCTTCTCAGGATTAGTTCATACTGACTACGACCTGCTTTAACCTTGTCATTCGGTGCAGTTCGATTCGCTTTCTTTGGCGGAGCAGATTCGACAGTAGACACTGTCACCGAGCAGGTTTGCAGAAATCCGCATGTCGATTTCGACCCCTGATGAACAGGCCAGTTGACATGATGAAGAAACCCTGAGAGGAACCCGACTCTAAAGGAACCGGTCCCGTTCTCCGTCACCCTGGATAGTAGGATTGTCAGTCATTACAGTGTACAGGGTGTAGAAGAGTAAAGACAGACAGTACTAAGTGTGCTGTGAGCAGTTGATGAGCAGCTTGTGATTGAGTCCTGGGATGAGTCTTTATGAATACAGCAGCAGGTCTTGGGAGCAAAACTATGGGAATAATAAGTGCAAATGTTTTTTGGGATGAGCAAATCTTCGGGGTGTCCATGTGGAACCATGCAGAAAGTGAGTCGGAAGTGCAGAAGTGTGCAGATGTGTACGTATCACCTACGCCTACATGCATTCACACTCTGGCACACTATGTTAGAACACATCGAATCAAGACGAATTCAGGGATGCGCTGATCCGATACGGAATATCGGTATCGGGACTGAAATGCAGGATCCGTGTCGGGCATTTTTCCCGAGTCCAGCCGAGTTTCCTTTGCTGTGATAGAACGAGTATCATATTAAATTCTCTCTCTCTCTCTCTCTCTCTCTCTCTCTCTCTGTACCTTTACAGTGCTTTAGGAAAAAAGTGCTTCCCAAACCTTTGCGTGGACTAGGGCTGGGCGTTATGCATTATAACAATACGACGATACAATATTTATATTGTGACATAATTGACCATAATCCACTTTTCTGAGTACTGTAGTAGGCGTATCATCAGGTGATGGTGATTTGATACCTCCTCTGTTACTCACAAACATCTTCTTCTCTCTTTCTATCCAATAACTAACTGGATGTTAACATTCATTTTTACAGTCCCTCTTCTTTTCCTTCATTAAACACTTGAAGATGCCTCACTCTATGTTGGCTTCACGCGTCCGAAGAGTACGCGGCAGTGAACGTTTGCGGTTCACCTGTAACACAGGAGCATGCAATAAATCTTCCGGCACTGAGGTCAGACAAAACGTTGAATGGTGCCACGTCACAGTCTCTGATATTGCACATATATTTCAGATGACTCATTAACCGAATCATAACCTTCTCCCTTTGCGCTGTAGCTTATACTTATACCTTATACTGCTGCTCAGACGCAGGATGTGACCTGTATTTACTTCCTGTTGGCATGTGTTTGCCTGCATAAGGTATAATGTGCACTGTTAGTGTTACACTAAAGTCACCGATGTGTGTGTTGACGGAGTTTGATAATGCTAGTGTAACTTTCAGTGCTTTTAGTATAGACTGTCCTATACTAGGTATCTATGGACGATAATAATTTGCACCATTGTTGTACTGTTGAATGATCATTTCTGATTGGTCAGAAGGTTTAGCAGCAGCTTTGACAATTCAGTCAAGCTGTAATTCGGATCACAGGTTTATTCTAATACGCTGCTTCTTCCATAATGTTATCATTTCTGTAGTAACAACTAACACTGAGACTCAATATGCTGTTATTTAACAAACATGTATAATCACGGATACGGTGGAAGGAGTCTCCAGTGTGAGCGCTTTGTAACAGTAAGTTTTCCACCATGGGAAAGTCTTCAGGACAGATTTCTTTTACAGGACGTTCCACAACGTTAACTGTAACTATACTGTAACAGATGTCTTTCTTTAATAAATTTGAAATTGTGATTGTTGACGAATTGCTGTGGTATAAGAGGAATAAAACGTTAATATTTTGTGCTGAATCCTTAAAATAGTAAATTGTACAAAAATAATTTGCTGAATTTTTTATTTTCCCGTCTTTTTCTGTGTTAAGTAATGATTTTCTTTTGTGGATGTTAAATTAAGAATTTCAAGAATTTTGACTGTTCGTGAAACGCACAAGTAAGGCGATATGATATTTTTGCTATATCGCCCCCTACCCCTATCACTTTCACTTTTATTTTAATACATTCCTCCTACATAACCTCCATAGCTTTCACATTCCTCCTACATAACCTCCATAGCTTTACAAATGAAAGAATGCCTGCATTGTTTCTCGGTGTGTTGTTCACTGTGGGCTGCGCGCTGCCATTCAGACGAGACCGGAGTTTGGCACCGAGCCTCAAAGAATCATCATTCATTAGATTAGAAAGATTACCAGCGCCCAGAGTCACCTTCATCACAGGGTGATTAGGGGACGTGAGATGACTGTGGTCACATGACCTTCCAGAAACAGAAAGGAGAGGTACAAAGTGAAGTATGTTGGGTTGCTTATTACCTGAGCCACATGCACAAAAAGTGATCACGCTTTAAAAATTTCTTTTTCCGCAGTGTTCTCCAGAACTCCTTTTTTCATTTCCATACGTTTTTGTACTAACGCTGTTACTCAGACCAGATTC